GCTAGTAGATGGAGAAAAGAAGAGAAAAAAAACAAAATTAACTCAAATTCCTCACAAGTTTTTAGTGTCTAATATTTAGTACACTTAGTGAAGAGCTGAGCACTTAAAATGCTTATTTTTTTTTTTTATTTTTAGATACAGGGTCTTGCTCTGTCACCCAGGCTGGAGTGCAGTGGCACAGTCATAGCTCACTGCGGACTTGAATTTCTGGGCTCCAGTGATCCTCCTGCCTCAGCCTCCCCAGTAGCTGGGACTACAGGCATGCACCACCACACCCAGCTAATTTTTCTATTTTTTGTAGAGATGGGGTCTCACTATTGCCCAGGCTGGTCGTGAACTCCTGGCCTCAAGTGATCCTCCCACCTCAGCCTCCCAGAGTGCTAGGATTACAGGCGTGAGCCATAGTACCTGGCGATGGACCATACTCTTAAGATTCTTAATATACTTGGAATATTAAGAAACAAATTGAAAGATTCAGGGAAAAATAACGGTAGTAGTACCAGTTGAGTGTTTACCATGTACTAGGCCCTGTACTAAGGATTTTAAGCCTATGCTTTTAATTAAATTAGGCCTCCACTAGTCTCTATTTGAGTCTGAGATCATATATCCATGCAATATACAGGTCTTACGAAAACTTAGAAGCACATACTTAAAACTTTCCAAGACTTATCACTAGTGGACACACCCACTGAATGTCCTCCTCACTCAGTGTTCCTCACTGAGGACAGTAAAGTAAGTCACATCCACATATACTTCATTACTTAACTGACCTCAGACACAATTTTCAAAGGTCTTCTAGCAATTCTATGCATTCGCTTTACAGATTTGCCACTAAATAATTTAGAGGACCTTGGGCAAATGATGTTCCATTCCTCAGTTTCTTGTTTGCATAGTTTGTTGTCAATGTTTCAATATTTTATCTACTCTGGCTTAACCCAAAGGTGGTCTCCATACTACCCCGTGAATTGGTCTACTCGCCCAGTGTCTTTGTGGCTAAGGTATTGCTGGGCAGAAGGACATTAACAAGACGGTCAGAGATCAGATGTTTCCATGCCTAACTCATAGATTCCAATCTTACTGACTGGTATTTGTATATTTAGTCCCTAATTATGGGATTATGGGATTATGGGATTGATACTTAAAAAGTTCCACAGTAAGCCTGGAATTCGTTGTAACAAAGGGCTAGTTAAGGGGGACTGGGACAAAAAAGAGCCTACCATGCCCATAAATGCATTTTCAGGAAGAAGGAACATTTCTGAGTTGGAAAACTCACCAGCATCTGTTCAAAGAGAACTAGAACTTGTTCATCTGAAACATCTTGCAATGACTGTGCTGTGGGATCATCCCCATATGATGCAGAAGAATTTCTATGAGCAGAATTGGGCTTTTCCTTCTCCTTCTTAATTCTCATGCTGGTGAATCTCTCCAGCTGAGTAAGAGAAAGAAGTATTAGCAGTGATCCATTTTCATTTACACAAGAAATCACACATCAAATAGCCAACCCTTTGCCCTCTTACATACGCAGGTTTCCTCTGGCTCATGAGCAGTTGAAGACTCTTCTGACATGACAAGAATAAATCAGTCTTCCTCATATCTAAATTAGCAAACTGACTCTGTACTCTCATCTACATCCAAAGATAAGAGGACTGAAGCATTAAGATTTCAAACCTCCCTAAAAAGAGGAAACTTTGTTCTTGATCTCCCCTGCCATTTCTAAGCCCTGTAGCAGCACAGAACTGAAAGTATCGCATGTGCAGAGATAGAGCAATAAAATGCCCTTTGCTTCCCTCTAGCTACCCATTAATAAATGTGGCCAGGACCCCAGAGGATCCCTCCCTTTAAGAGGTGAATATGACCACAGATTTTAATAGCTATAAGGCACATAAACAAGTAAATGCCTTAAAACCAGGAACTATTCCTTTATTTTGTACTCTCCACAGCACTTGTGCTATGTAGAAAGCAAAAGTTCAATACATATTCTTTAAAGTCCCCTTTGCATGACCTCTAGTTAACAAAGAATACAAAGTTCTTCAGGGGTTTATATGTCATCTCTCTGCCAAACAAATGCTAATGAACCATTCCTCAAATCTCAAGTACAGATGCTCAAAAAGAGCCACTAATAAGCTGCAGCTTATCTTTGAAAATAACAGTAACTATCTGCAAGCATTGTGGGGCATCAAGTCATGAGTGGCATCCAGACTGCAAGTCAGCTTGGACTTTAAAGAGCATGCCCAACTTTGGAAGCTAATGAATGTGCAGGGAAATGCATGCAATGGGCCAAACACAACAGAGTTAGGAAAAGGCCTTGAGATGTTGAGAATATAACCCATATCATCATTACAAGATGCAGAAAGGCAAAGTTATGGGAACTGGTAAAAATTATAGTATAGGAAATAAGCTAGAACATGCACATGCCAAACGAAATTTTCTTACCTCATCTGCCATGAGCCGCTTCAGAGTCTAAGAAACAGGAAAAAGGAGGGAGACGAAAGATCAGTGAAATGCCAGGAAGCCTCCCAAACACCAGATGGGTTGGAGGTAAAAAGGAAGAGAAAATAAGTTGAAAGGACCTAAGCTACTTTCCACAAGTGAATGATTTCTGCCAAGTACACTCCCTTAGGTAAGGGAGAAGAAGAGTTTTAAGGTCACCAACACATGAGTCTTAAAAAAAAAAAAAGATGAAGAACTGAACAGATTCTAAATCTGATGACCAATAAACTTATGAAAGGCACTCGACTTCATTAAGAAACAAGGAAATACACATTAAAACCACAGTGAGGTATCATTTTGTACTCTTAAGACTGTCAAAAACTTTCATGTCTGTCTAGTTGTAGAGCACCAGGAGCTCTCACGTACTTTTGGTGGTAAACTGCTATGGCCACTTTAGAAAACAGTATAGCACCATCTGATCAAGTTAAATATGCACATGCACTGCAACTCAACACACCAGTTTCTATGTATCCACCCTGCTGAAACATGCACGTATAGAGCAGAATATGTGTAACAACAGTGTTCAGAGTAACACTGTAACATCTAAAACAGAGAATAATCCAAATAGCCACCAAGAATAGAATGGACAAATAAACTGGCATATTGGTACAATGGAAAACAATTATACAAAGAAAGTAAAGTCACTTATAGCTACTCATAATACTGAATTACTATTTCATTTACATGAGTTAAAACAACACGTAAAACTTAATTATATTATTTGGGATGTAAAATTATAAAGGGAATGATTATCACAAATGTCGAAACAGTGGTTACTTGGGGAGGGTGGGAGAGCTGTGACTGGGAAGAGATGAAGCAGCTTCCAGGGTGCTCACGGTATTCTCTGTCTTCACATGGACGGCGATTACATGGGTGTTCAGTTCATAATTATTCTGCCTGTTTTATGTTTTCTTCTGTATACATGCTATATTTCACATACACGAAGAAAATATGAATGAGCAGGTCTGGGAAAGCAGGAATTTTTCTTTACCCTACTTAATTTTAAACCATCTTTCTTTTTTGTTAATGTCCTTGGAAGAATATGGTAAATGCCTCTTGACTAACCTTCCTCAACCAATGAAAAACTAGTTCTGTTCCTGCCACAAAACTATTTTTCTTAACCTTCTTATGGACAAGAAAAATCTATATCATTATGTTCATGTTCCCTGTATCAAACAATTCAGTTAAAGCCAGTGTAAACTAAATCTAAACTTTGCCCTCCATGGTCCAGAGGAGGTCGAGCTTCTACAGGCTGAGTGCTAATGTCTCACCCCAAACCTTAAGAACCTTGCTCAGTGCCCAAGGAATTTACAGTTTCTTTGCATGGGCTACTTACTGGAAGCAAAGGCAGAAGGATGATGAGGCAGAGACAGCACTACCAATGAGACCAACCACACAGTTCCTTTTGTTGCCACGCTAAGTCATTTGGCACACAGAGGTGAAACAAGCACAAAAGGGATGAGTGAATCCAGTGTGGGTTGCCATAGCCAAGATTAAACTTATTTGCTCTTAGAGCAATTGCTTCTAAAACCTTGGCCCCCAAACTCAAAATGTTCCCTCAGAACCAAGCAACAATGAAACAACTCTGGCATGAGTGTGATGCAGGTAACAGAACTTGGGTCTAAAGAACTAGTGGCAGTTGACTTGTTCACAGCTGCAACTTAAGTTAAAGTAAGGAAAACCAGCAAACTGTCCTGCCTACAGATTCTCCAGTTATCTCTCTTCTGTCTATCTCTACTGCCATTACCTAAGTTCACGCCACTGCTGTCTCCCGCTTGATTTACTGCAACAGCCTCTTAATTGATCTCTTTGCTTTCAGTCCTGTCTGTCCCACACCACGTCCATTCTCCATGCTATATCCAAGAGTAACCTTTCTAAAATGCCAAGCTCTCCATGTTATTTCCCCATTTAAAACCCTTCAATAGCTTCCCACTACCCTTATGTTAAAATCCAAATTCCTTAGCATAGCATATGACTCTACTGGCTTTTTCCCCTAGTCTCATCTCTCAACAAACTCTTCACCTCAAATTCCATTTTCTGGCCATACTGAACTAATTGCAGGCCTACAAACAGATGATGCTGTCTCGACACCCAGTTTCCATAGGCTGCTGCCTCCTCAGCATAGATTGTGCTTTCAAGGCTAACTCCAACGGGCCCTGCAGGATACCTCCTCTCACTGGAGAGGTGCCTTTCCTTGTGTTTCCACAGTAATAGGCACTTGTCTGTCTCACATCACTAATAGTGGATTACAACCGTCTTTTCACTGTCTGCCTCCTCTATCCCTTTCCAGACTAAGTAACTCATAGGTAGGTCTGAGATTTAGTCATTATGTCTCCTATGAACAATTACTATAATGTGAGGCTACTACCCCAACATACCAATCCCCAGAGAAGCCCTCAAAGTCTATTTCATCTCTTCATTATATCAATAAAGAAACTGAAGCCCAGACAGGTGGAGTAAATCTCTGATTAGGGGCTGAGTTGAGTATGGAACTTGGGTCTCCAGATTCCAAAGCCCCGAAATCTTTGCATTCCCCAAATTCTTCTGCTTTTCTCCTATTTAATGCCCACTAACTCACGCCTTTAGATAGGAAAGCAAACACACATCTTTATAAGAAGGAAGACACCAGTTTCCTTTGCTTTCTTAGGGCATCATTAGAAATGGATTTGAGCCTTTAAAAAAAAACTACTAATGTTTTAGTGCTCAATTTGGGGTAAGGACAGCAAAAGTGATCCATGCAGGATAAAAGCTGCATTTCCTCAACTAGTCCAACAGAGGGCAGCAACAACCAATAAATCCCAGCACCGTACAGCAAACTTCTGTTGGAGAACCCAATAGCACACCTGCTGCTGCAGTACATTGAGGGTGTATCGTTTACTTATTTAATACTATATGTGTTTTTCTTACAGATTCTATATATACTGTGTCTGTAAACAGTATGGTTCAGTCATCATTTTTTAATTGTATCACTGGTAGCTTTGTGGATTCTCTGAAATGAAGAACAAGAGGTTCCTAGATCATGAGAAAAAGGAAGAACTAAAAATAGTGGAGTCCAGGAAGATAAATGCTACTGAAGCTGTATTTATGTCTTATGGCTCAGACAGCCAAGCTTTTTTTATAAATTCTCTCATCATTCTACCAACTTCTAAATGCTTCCACTTTTACCATCTCCTTGTTTGCTGTCACAATTCTCTTCTGCCCTTAAACCAAACCTTTACTGTCCTGGCCTGGCTGTACTAAACACCTCGCTCCCTGTCCCTCCTATTGAGTCCTCCACTAAACGCTTCCATTAAAACCTTTAACTACAAATATAGATACTCACGGAAGCAAGACTATGGAATGAAATTTTTTACAATACCAAAATCTGGCTTATGAACAGATTAATAGGAACTTTCAGGTAAAAGGTGGCATAACAAACCAAAGAATCCAATTTCTCCCCTTCTTGAAATCCCACTAAATCTACAGAAAATGGATTTTTTAGAAAGAAAAGAATGATGGAAGGGAAGAGCCTACAAGATTGGGAAGAACGAGAAAAAAGCAACTACAGCCGAAATTTTGAAGCTGGGGAATACAAGGACTACAGGTATTTAACCCAACAGACTTAAGAAAGAGGAGTCTTACACCAAAAGTTGGAAAGGGCAATAACCAACTCAAATTACACCTAAGGATCCTCAAAAGGCTCAGGAATTAGTGGCACCAGATACCTATAAAAACAGGTTTAAAGGGTGGAAGAGGCTAAAAATAGGATTGGTTGAAAGCTGTTTAAGAAGCAGATCTCTAGACACTACACCCCACCCCTCTCCCTCTGCCCTCCCTTCTTCCAGCAGAGGTCGGGAAGTTTATTTTCAGAAGAGGGTAAAACAGAGGGTCTTTGGATTGGGGGATGTCAGGAACAGTTGTGGGCAGGGATATTCTATACCAAAAAGAAAAGTAAAGCTATGCATAGTATATACTGAGACACCTAGTACTTTTCCCGCTCTAGGCTCGCAGAACCCCAGCAGCCTGGTCTTTACCCTTGAGACAGAAGGTTGGAAGAGTCTCCCCTGGGGAATCGAAAAGCAACCTAGAGCTAACAACATAGTCCAAGTAGATCAACCCAGAGCTGCGCTGTCCAACATGGCAGCCACTAGGCACATGTAACTATTCAGCATTACTAACGTGGTTAGTGGCTAGTGCAAATGAGGAAGGAATTTTTTATATTTATTTAATTTCGGCAAAATTTAAATGGCAAATAAGCCTATGAAAAGATGCTCCACATCATATATCATCAAATACGAATTAAAACTGCAATGAGATACCACTACATACCTATTAGAATGCCCAAAATCCAGAACACTGACAACACCAAATGCCGGTGAGGATGTGGAGCAAGAACTTTCTTTCATTGCTGGTGGGAAAGTAAAATAGTACAGCCACTTTGTAAGACAGTTTGGCAGTTTCTTATAAAACTCAACATACCCTACCATAAGATCCAGCAAACATGCTCCTTGGTATTTATTTGTTGAAAGGAATTGAGAACTTACATCCACACAAAAACCTGCACAGGGATGTTTAGAGTAGCTTTATTCATAATTGCCAAAACTTGGAAACAACCAAGATGTCCTTCAGTAGGTGAATGGATAAACAAACTGTGGTATAGCCAGACAACAGAATATTACTCAGCGCTAAAAAGAAATGAGCTATCAAGCCATAAAAAGACACAGAGGAACCTTAAATGCATATTACTAAGTGAAAGAAGCCAATCTGAAAGGGCTACATGCTACATGATCCCAATTATATGACATTCTAGGAAAGGCAAAACTACGGAAAATGTAAAAAGATCAGTGGTTGACAAGGGTTGGCAGGGAATGAATGAATGGAGCACAGAGGATTTTTAGGGCAGGCAAAATATTCTGTATGGTACTATAATAATGGATACATGTCATTATACATTTGTCCAAATCCATAGGAAGTACAACACTAAAAGTGAA